AATACATAATGTGTATTTTTATATATTATATAAAATATATAAATAATATAATATTTATTGAAATATATATATATATTTATAATTTAATATATTTTTTTTTTTTTTTTTTATTTTCTCTCTCTCTCTCTCTCTCTCTCTCTCTCTCTCTCTATTCAGCCGCTTCAGCAATAGTAACAGCATGGGCTAAATTTCGGGCTCGAGCCAGGCCCGGGCCCAAGTTGTAGGCCCGATGGTCGGGTCGGGCTCGGGCTCGGGCCTTAGAAAAATCTGTTAATACAGAGTGAAAGCCCGGCCCGAGCCTGGCCCGGCTCGGTCCATGAACAGGTCTAATCAGAAGACAATAATCCTACTTCCTACACAAGGATCAGAAATGGAAAAGAATTTCTAAGATCCACCCAAGATTTTTCAAATAACTACCTCCAGAGGGATTTGAAATTCCCCCCTAGCATGGTGGGTTTTGCGCTTTCAAGATCCCCTAGAATTTGGATTTTGTGTCCCATTTAAAAGGGAAAAACAAAAGAAAAAAAATTCCATTTCTTGGTGGGTTTCATGTTTTGTGAAGCTCAAATCTAGAGGGTAAGAACTTGTTTATTTGACTTGATTTTAATGTTAAAAGACAGGTTTTCTTGTTACCTGTTCAATAAGGCCAAAATTTGGCAAATCATGTCATTAGAGAAAATTATGTCTATTTTACTAAAAGGGACCATTTCTTGATGCAATGGTAAAACCTTAGGCAGACAAGCATGAGGGTGTGGATTTGAGTCTGAGAGTGGCCACTTTATGATGTGGGACATGAATGAATGAATGGCTTTTGATGAGAATTTTGTGGTTGTTGATGACTGTATTGGTTTGTTGAAGGATTAAGAAAGAAAATAGGGAGAGGAAATCTGGAATTACTCACCATAGTTAGCATAAGCTGTAAGAACTCGAATAAACTTCATTGATCCTTGCATAAAACATCCATGCACATAGATTGTAGACTTTTAACAATCCTAGTAAGACTCAAAAATATAAACTTAATTGCCACTATCCTATTTCAATTCAACAAAGACATGATAACTTTTAAACTACTTACTTAATGACTCTAAAACTTTGAACTACTTATAACTAGACAAATCAAACCAATATACTGGATCCCACAGAAACATGTTAAAATGACCAAACTACCCCTACTGTCCGAAGAATACAAAAAAACATAAAATTCAGAAAATCCAAAATTTGACTCTTCAGTTCCTTCATCATTGTCCCTGGTTCAAAAGAAAAAGTCCTTGAGGTTTAAAGAAGTTGAAGATGAAATACTGATCTGCTTTAATGACAAAGCAAGTAGGAATTCCCAAGGTTACTACAACACACTTGGACTGTAGAACATCTGTCATGCACATGACCAAAATGAATCTTCAAAGCAATGCATGTATGAAGCATCTTTGTCTATAACCTTCTTAGCTAAGTTGTCATCACCTTCTTTCTTACGCTTGTATCACTCATCAGCTTAGTTTTTGTTGAATCTTCCATGTACTCTTCAACATAAACCTTCAAGCTTGAAATTCCAATTGCAACATAGGAAACTTTGCCTTCAACCTCTAGAATAGGAATTGCCATCCCAATATGTTGAATCAGATTTGGTTCTTCAACAAACTCCAAGGTTGGTTTCAATATTGGTGTTGCTTGAACTTCTCCTATCAGATCAACTTAAAACTTTTGATTGGGTTAACTTCTATGGAAATCTCTTCTGTTATTTCCAATTCAACTACGGTATATTCCTTAATGGAATCAACTGGTTGTAAATTAGAATCTTCAAGTTGAATATTTGAGGCTGAGCTCTTATTTTTAGCATCAACACAAACATTTTGAGTGGGGGATTATTGTCTTGCAGCCAGTGCATCAACATCTTGTACTTTAAATTCTTCAAAATGCTTGAACACTGCATTGTCTTGAACAAGAATCTCAAGCTGATTATGAATGTTGGAACATTCTTCTTCAGCAATTTAAACACATACCTGATCATCATCTTGAATTTCAATATATGAAATATCTCTAGAATGATGCTTTGGTTCATTGGCTTTATTCACATATTTAAGATCCAGCATATGCATGCTGAAAATACAAGGAATCATCCAAAATCTCCGATGTCATCATCTATTACATCTTCAAATTGCTTCAAATTCCTTTATACCTTAAGAGCTAGTTGAAAAGTATCTTCCAGATCATATATTATCAAAGTTTCCGATTCCCTTTTAATGTCTGCTCTTAGGCCATTCTTAAAACAAACCAACATGCATTGCATTTTCAACTATATCACATTGAACGACAAACTTTTTAAATATTTTCATGTACTCAATTACATACATTTTTTTTTTTTTGCTTAAAAGAAAGCATCTCAAATATATCAATTAGGCAATCAAAAGGTATATATTTTCTAGTAACTTTCTTTTCATCTCTTTCCTTGTAACAATATGTTGCTGACTTTTGCATCTAAAATGATCCTCCATGGTATTATCAGTACTCACTAATTTATTACATGGAATTCTAACTCTTCGATCATTAGGCATTCCATATTGATCACAATATTCTTCCAAAGCAACTAACCAATCAAAGAATATTTCTAGGTGGTGATCTCCCATAAAAATCTAATATTCCCTTCCTTGTGCTTTTGGAAATATTTCTCATGTATGTAGACATTATGTTATCTGAATTCTTCCACAATCTTCTCAAACAACTCAATTGCCATTGATTCCAAATCCATAATAATGTTTGTTATCGAATTCATATCCATAAAATTGGTTACAATATATCTTAGTCCCCCCCCGGAAAAGACCTCAGATATTTCATATCAGGTACTCATCAGTCATCATTGGGTAATGACTTTCTATGGCTGTTTTACTAATGGGGTGTCAATCAAGTTGTGACAGGATTTGAGTATTTCTTTTCTCCTTCTATCTTGGAAGTGCAATCATTTATTTAACTATAGTAGGATTTGTAGTGGGTTGTTATAATTATTTTAGAAATACTTTGATTTTCCTGGTGCAATTAGGAGTTATTTTTTAATCACTTTTTTTTTTAAGTTTTGAGCCTAAATTAGAGTTTGTAAATGGATGTCTGAGTTGTTTTTTTATGGTGAGTCCAAGTAACTGAACTTCTTAAAGAGAATTAATAGTTCTGGTAAAATCTTGGAAATTTTATTATATCTTCTCATCTCTTTTGGTGAAATCTTTGCTTATACAAGCTTTATCCCAACCATATGGGGTTGCCTACAAGAATCCTGTTTTGTGTCTGTTCTGTTTCTGTTTAATGCCATATTCATTGTTAAATTATTGGTGACTTAAATCTTTGCTTTCTTGCTGATTTATTGTATTTTTCTGCATTCTGTTTCTCTTTCTCATTTCCTGCATTCTTGAATCCTCAGTGGTTCTTCATTGATTTTTCATTTGCCATGATAATGCTTGATTCCTTCTTGTGTTCTTGTTCTCTTCTCAAAATTTCTTCATTCTTTCATATTTTCCGCATGTAACTCATGCTAAAGGAAGAATTTTTTTTCGTTCTCAGAAGAAAACTATCCATTCCTTAAAACCCTAACTACAGTGTGAAGCTAACCTAAACAGCATAAATTTGTAAGTTCCATTAATTTAGGCTCTTCTCACAATATTATCATCATCTAAGTTGTGTGCCAACATTATGGGGTTGGCTATATGAATCCTGTTTCACCATTCCATTCTGTTCAATGCCATATCCATTGTTAAATTATGTGCTCAAATCATTTATTAGTACTTCTACCCAACTCCTTTTCAGTCTACCCCTAGCTCCTCTAGCCCTTCAACTTGTAACAGATCACTTTTTCGAGCAGGCGCTTAGATGGTCTTCAAGCACAATTCTAGAAAAAAAACCATAAATCATCCACAGACCTCATATATAATTTATGAACCCCAACATCTTTTGGTGTGGTGTCACCACCCTCCGAAGCCCTTCCCATCTCTGATCATAGTTGACAAGGTGTCTAGGTAATTTTGGGCAACCGTTGGGCACCTAGGCAATAAGAATTTTAAAATAAAAAAAAACTAAATTTTGGTTAGTTTTCTCACTTTGCCTACCAATCAGCATGCATTTAATTGAAAAGATAGCAAATCTCTTTATTAAGAACATTAAATTTTCTTTCAAAACATGGAAAATCATCACAACTAAAAGACTAAAGTATTTTAATAAATATTAATTTCAATACTTAAAAAAATAAAACTAATACAATACATATTTAATAGAGAAATTTCATATCAAATCAGTAAGTAAAGAAAATGATAATCTAAGAGGGGGGGGAGGGGGAGAATAGAAAAAAAATAAAAGAAACCTTTTTATCCTTCCTATTCTTTTCTCAAAACCCTTGGATCTTTTAAATTTCAATGACTAAACTTTAAAACAAAGTACACATGATATAAATAATGTATAATATTCAATATCTTAGATATTTGTAGTCTTCTCATTAGCCTCCTCTTTTTCATCCAGGTTCCAGACCATTCACTAAGTTCACTAGAGGTGTAGAGTTACATTATTTGTTGGTTGTCTTGTAAAACTGTATGATTTTCATTTGGGAGATAATAGTCTAAACTACAACTAGACCTGTTCATGGGCCGGGTGGCCCGACGGGCCGGCCCCCAGACGGGCTTGAACAGGCTTTTTGGCCCGCGGGCTTAACCTCGGGCCAAAAAACCCGGCCCACATAAAATTCGAGCCGGGCTCGGGCTTTGCCAAAATAGCCCAGCCCGACCTATAGTTAAACCTAAGTAAAAACCCTATGTGATGTCCATTTGAATAAATTTTTTGATTTAAGAAGGTTGTTGATTCACTTGTAGGCCCATTGTTCATTTAAATAGGGGAAAAAAACATCTGAATTAAAATAGATAATGTTCATTTGAATAGGGAAAAATTCGAATTTCTTTTATTAGGTCGGGCTTCGGGCTCAGGCTCGGGCTCGGGCCTAACATTTTTCTGTTAATAAAGAGTAAAAGCCTGGCCCAGCCCGGCCCATGAACAGGTCTAACTACAACTCAACAAAAATTGGAAAGGTGATCCTAACACTTATGAAAAGAAAAAAAAATGCTTAAGTTTATGAAGAGTCCTGACTCAGTGAGGATACCAGCACTCTTCCAGCATTCACCTAAAAGCTTCGTCGACTATTCTGATGGAAGAATTCTTAAATGTTGACCATTCATCAACCTTTAATTTCTAGGAAATAGATAGTGGAAAATCACTGTCCCAGAAACCTAATAAATTAAACATTTCTTTGCTGCCAAGGTCCAATAACACAGCAGAGGAATAATATCTATGCTGTATAGAAGCAACCTCATTTGTGCAGTCAATGAACCAAATACAGATCAAACACTTGGAACCTGTTTCCTGACACATGCTACATTTATCAGAGGGAATGCTAATCTTCCTGCTCTCAAAGGGATGTTAGCACTGGTCCCACTTTATATAAACAGTAATTATGGAAAAAGAAGGGTTAGTTTAACCTTTTTACTTATATGCGCCTTCCTTCCCTACCTCCTCCAATGAGCAGTCCACTGATTATCCTGGTCATCAAAATATCTGGAATATCATTTTAGTCACCAAGGAACATATTCTATACAAATAACTATAAGAGAATAGCATGATAAAGGGTGCTGGAAGCCTGGTGGTTGCTTATATTCATGACATGATTAATGGAAAGCTTTTCCACTGTAAATCACAGCAGCTAATTTGAGTTAAAAAACTTTAGCTTTAAAAAAGTTGCATTTTAACAACCATAATGATAAAAGTGCAGAGTTTTCTTAGGGAGAAAGTTAGGGCAAAACACTAACCAAGCTGTTCAAGGGTAAAAAATTCATTTTCAGTACCAACACCCAACCCAGGAGTCTAGGTAGTTCACCATGGCCCGAGGCAGATACTCCTCCCTGAACTGTCAAAATGATACATATGTTATTGAGGAGTTAACAGACTGAGTACATTTATTAACACTGAAGTTGTACCATGATGTTTCGATGGTTTTCTTTTATCAGGAGCGAGAATTAGAGAAACATGCACAAAGTGATGCATGGGAAATCTTAGAGCCTCTAAAATGATAAAACATTTGATTACCAATTTCCCTGCATTAACTGAAAGATAAGAGCCACTAATAGTAGGTAGGGGTGCAACTCGGGTTGGCCCAAATTAGCATTTTACATGGTTTCGGACTTGGGCCTTCAGGCCAAGTCCATTCAAAATTTGACAAGAACCCAACCCGAGCCCGCCCAAGTTGCAACCCTGATAGTAGGGGAATCAGGCAGAAAATTAAAGAAAAATAATTACTTTATAATTTATATATCAATGCCTGCCTTAAAGTATTTGGCAAATGCTCTTCTGCCCTGAAATGCAAAGAATGTGAAAATAGTAAGAAACAATCTAGAAACAAGAAATGTTGGCACAAAGCCACAAACATTATTATCATGGTATCAGGGTGGCACTATACTTCAATAAATTTACCTTATAACATGTGAAATGGCCATGGTAGAATCATCAACTGTGACACAGAAGTTGTAATCTGGTTGGCCATTGCTTCTCATAATTGCAAAGTCTCCAAGTGTGTCTAAGTTCCAACTGATCTTAAAAGAAACAAAATTAACAGGATATACAAAATAGAAATATATAACTGTATGCAAAAGGGGCTATTGATTGATGCAATAGTAACATTTCAGGCTAACAAGTGTGAAAATGCGGGTTTGAGCCTGAGAGAGGCCACTTCATGCTGAAGGGTAGGTCTATATCCCACTCCACCCCTCTCAAGACCCCTGCAATCCACATTCTCATGCTTACCAGTCCAGGATTTTATAACAACTGCAAGTGGTAGTGAAAACAGCTCAGCAAGTACAACTACTAACTAGTGTAAAAAGAGGGCCAACAGGCATCAGATGAGCATGTAAAATATATTAATGACACAATGTCCATCATTATTCCATCACAAGGGCAAGAACCATCAATAATGAAAACAGAGAACTGTTGTAATCAAACTTGTTTCAATGAAGTAAGTTTAATATTTACTTCACCATGAATAAGGTCATCAGTTTTCGAAGTCCCTTCTTTTGGAACATGAAAACGGTAAGTGTATGGTGTTCCCTTTGCAGGCTCTTATTGTACTTCTTCATCCATTGCTATTGCCTGCTTTCCTGTATGCTGGTGGCAATTGTTTTAACTTAGGCTGTGTTTGGTTTGAAGGATAGACAAGTGTGCACCATATGTGCATGTGCATATAATAAACTCTATACATTGAAAGAAGAATAGAAAAGCATATTCTCCCAAAGTTCTTCCAATTCACCTATTTAACATACCAGTTGAAGAATTTTCCTTTTTGTATACCTAGGGCCTCTTTCAACTGTTAGAAAAATATTTTATGCCAAAAATGAAGGGATTTGGGAGACTTTTCATATAGCCAGCCAACTGCTTGTCTATAATGATGGAATGCAAATCAATCACTATAAGGTAAACCAATACTTTTGGAGGGTCCACACTTGAACAAATATGCTGATTTGAGCATATGCTACATGTTGAATAGAGAAATACTGCAGTTATTTGAAGCATATGCAGAACTTTAAATATGCATGAAAACATATAAGAAAATTATCAAGTCAGGCAGAAATAGTGAATTAACATCTTACAAGTGAAGCTAACAGCTAAGTCACACATTACCACTCCAAGCATGCCCTCCTACTACCATCAATTGATTCTCATATTTAATTCCTAACCATCATTTCTTTTATTCCAAATGGTTGACAAAAATCCCAAGCCAATATACTAATGGACAACAAAATTGCATGGAAACTGAGAAGAGTTGAAATCAGATTTTTCCAGCTCAAAAATCAAATACTATTTTCATCTTCCAGAACCATAGTTAAGTTGCTAGTAGGACCGTTATCTTCATCCCAGTTAAGAACAAGCCAGGATAGATCTTGTAGTATCACTTCCTCAGATGCTTTAGTAGATATCTCCAGGCTGGTGTCTTCTATTCTAAGTATAAACTTGCCACCCTTGGACCTAAAAATGACAAGCCCTCTGATATAAATCAATGCAAAGACCAAAACGCTGAAAATTTTGGTGCTCAACCAAACTTGGGACATGTGAAGGAACTTTTCAGTGTTAAGCCCAACCTATACAAGTCTTTATTGTAGTAGTGCAAAACCAACCTTTTTTTTTTTTTTTTTTCTCTAGAAGTTGTTTTATTAGAAGTCCCCACTTGTTACCAGAAATTCAAGCCACTACTAATGCCAATATGTGCTTTTCCTTTTCTAAGAACTTCCTCCTGTCAACCCTTTTCCTAACTTCTCCACTAAACAAAACAGAGAAGGAAATACTTGCAGCAAAAGTCCTTTAATAAACTACAAATCTTCAATAAAGATATCAGCTTCACGGACTAATCGGTTGATCGACAAAATGCCAAAAAGAAAGATCACGGACTAATCCAAGGTGATCCTACCAGAGTCACCGTCTTTTTCTCTGCAGAGCTTCTAGTCTTTCAGCAACAAATAGATGCAAAGGAAGCCTATGATTATGATTCTGAGCAGTCAATAGCAGTAGCATTGAATATCGATAAAAGTGGCTGCCTCATCATTATAGCGCAAAATAACAGCATTGAAGTTTCCTCTTCAGACTTCAATGAGTATATCCTTGTCCATTGAAGTGGAAGACTGGAAGTTGATGAGATTGGAATGTCATGACTCATGTAGTGTAGTAGTGTGAAGCAACGAGACGGAAGTCCAATGGACCAAGCCCTTCTAAAGTTGTAATGAATTGCTATATGAACAGTTTTCTTTTTTGATCAAGGCTGGTGGACTCTGGGCTCGATCTCCAACATTGTAGAAACTTCCCGTGTGACCGACCATGACCGTTGTAAGATATTCCATTGAGTTTGAGGTTTTAAATTTTAATTTCCTCCTCTGATCTCCAGTAAAAACAGAGAGGAGGCGAGGCCATTACTATTAGGCTCATTACTACTTGAATTTTGAGTAATATGATATCTTCTTGTATGGAATTGGAAAATGGAAGTCGTCCTCTTTTTTCTAATTCTAGGGTTGGACTTGGACGTTCACTGTCTGTATTCAACAACAAACATCTGCTTCTATTGGAGTTTGAGTAATAATACCTACCACTTAGCACAGTTTATGTAATACCTTCCACTTCCATAGTGATTGGGAGTGTTAGAAAATTACGTGAATTAGTTGAATTTCATCTGTTCGCTTCTCTGATAAAACCTTGTCAACGGAAAACCCAACTAAAGAGACTACAGGTTGATTGAGAAGATCCTTGAAAGTTATCCGTTAGTTGAAGTTGAATGATTTCCTTCTTTTATCTTTCGTTCAATTGAAGGAAAGGAAAACTCCGATTAGATGGCTGAAGTGCTTTGATCATGATGCTTTTTTTTTTTTTTTGTTTTGCCTGAGAAAGTGCTATATAGGATCATGACGACCATGCAATGATGAAAAGATCTATGATCATACGGTGCATGAAGGCTGACCATGGTCGCAGGGTCCCAGCTTCTGTAAAGCGCAAAGCCAGATACAGCCAGAGCCAAGTACGAGTTCTTGGCTCTTGCTATTTGCTTTGCTGATTGCTACTTGCTAGAGGTGAGGTGAAGAAGTTGATAGAGAGTTGAAGATTGGAGGCGCCTGTGGGCCGATGGACGGACGGATGCTTTGTCCGTTTGTCGTCCAAAATGGGGTCCACCATCAGCTCTACATACACACTCCACAGAGAGGCTGCTGGCTCGTGAGGAGAGAAGAGAGAGATGCATGGGTCAGGCGAGTGGAGTGGTGTGGTGTGGGTGATTTGTCTTTATCCTAAACGAAAATCAGTCAAATATGAAAATGCATATTTGTATTTGGGAGAAGGAAGGCCCGGCATCTGATAATGATAAAATACGCCCAAGTCCTAACACACACAACGACGCCACACACCTGAAACCATTGGGCATTTGGGCTGGGGCCTGGCCGCCTGGGGGTTAAAAAAAAGCTTTTTAATTTGTTTTTGGATTTGGATTTTCATAAAGCTTTGAAGGTCCATACCCATACTGATACGGTACCCTCAATAATTTATTTTATTTTCTACATGAAGAAATGTTTGAATACTAATTCAACTAATCTGTTCCAGCTGTAAAAAGAAAGAATGGAAAAAAAAAAAAAAAGATAAAGCCGTCCATTACTCTCGTCTTTTTCCTCATTGCCGAAAAGATTCTCTGAAAAAACTTAAAAAATGCCTGAGATTTTGGCGGTTGTCCAAGTGTGGTCCTGTTACAATTAATTAGAGTTAAGAGATATATGTTTGGTTAGAGCAAACTATCATCTCCACTCAAACAAAAAAAGTCATCTGCACATCACCCCCCACCCGCCCCTCCTCCAAACCAATTGAAGATTCGATGTTAGCTTCTTCTTACTGATAAATAATTATGACGATTTATATTGTTCATTGCTGATTTGCAATCACACACGTAGTAAGCTACTCACTCAGTCACTGTGTTATTGGAGAAGTGTTACGGTGGGTGGGATCTCCAACATTCAACAAAGAAAAAAATAAATAAATAAAAAGAAGCACAAGTGACCGACTTCACGCGAATGCTCTTTGCAATAAAATTTGAATAATCAACTTAATTTAAAAACCGGTAACTTTGAAAAGTTTATTAAATAAAATAAAATATTACTTCTTTTTTTCATCTATTGAAGTTACAGCAACGCTTCCTTCATTAATTATGATTATTGTAATGCCACGCCAAGAGAGTATTAGAATTAATTTCTTCTGTTGAAAATGATAAAGCATTATTGCAGTGATCCGGCGCTAAAAATGGATCCCATATCTCCCCCAAGAAAAGTCTCATGAACCGGAGCTCTATCCAACGAATATGACTTCAGCAGCACCATTTTTAAATGATCCAACGGTCCTCACTAACCCTACCAATGATTAATTTTGGCCTGCTATGTCCAAATCAGTTGTAGATGGTGCCGTCGTTTTATCTCATTTTGGACTGCACCAATTAATCGCTTTTTCTTTTCTTGAATCTTTTGAAATCTCTTTAATCATCGCCGATTTATAGAGAAGTTGAAATCTCTGTCTTCTTTTTTGCCGAAAAAAACGGGGAAAAAAAGAAAAAATCTATTTATTTATTGAAATACGAGAGAACGAAAAAAGCAAAGGAAAAGAAATATTAGTAAAAAAGGGTAGGTTAAAAAAAAAAAAAAGGCTGAAAGGGGGAGGGCGTTGGAGTTAATGCATTTATTTATTTTAATATTTTTGTACGAAAGCAATTTCGGCCTGCTTTAACCCTGCTTTTTTATTAAAGCCCCAAAGAGAGAGAAGGCATGAAAAAAAAGGAGAAAAAAAAAAATTAAAATATAACGAAATACTCTTGAATTCCTAACATTTCTAATAGAGTGCTCTCAACCTCTTTCTCAGTTTTCCCTCACAAACTCTAAAAATCTTTTCCTTCTTTCTTCCTTCGATCTCTGTATTTCTGTAACAGGTTCTCAGTATTTTTTTCTTTTTTTAAGGTAAGAAAATAGCGAATTTCTGCTTCATTTTCGAATTTCCGGATTTTTGCTATTTTTTGGGTGATTTTTTTTATATTTTAATTCCATAAAACCCGAAAAAAGAGAGAATTTTTGTTGGTAATTTCTGAGGGGAAGACGTATTTTGTGATGAGAATATGAATTTCGTTTGCTTTTTTGTAGGATCTTGCCTTGGATTTCGAAAAAATCAATTTTTTCTACCTCTGTAAATTAGGGTTCGTAACTTCTCTAGGTTCCTGTTAGGATTTTGTATTTCTTGTTTTCTGTACTAGATTTTTGTTCGGGTTTCTGTTGCAGAGTCCTCTGATTCTTCTTCTACTTCTCAGTGAAAGAACAAGTTTTTTCCTGTACTAGGGTTTAGGGCTTGTTTAGAGTGTGCTTAGGGTTTAATAAATATCGGGTTTTGGGTTCTTCGATGTTTCGTGTTTTGAGTTATCTGCGGTTAAGTTTTTTAGTACAGTCACTGTTTTTAGAGGTTTTGTAACAATTTCTTACAAAAGTCAGAGTCTAAAGGGATTTTTCTCAACTTGGCAGCTAACATTAGTAGCAGAGAAGCATCTGAGCATTTGGTTCTTGAAGGCAATATCAGGAAAGTTTGTTCTTTCGAGTTTACCGAAACAACCGCAGAAGAAACCCGAGTAGTAGGAATTCTGGGTTTGTTCATGGTCCAATTTTCACATTTATCAAGTTCTTGTGATATCTAGGGGGTTTGTATGGTGTATAGGAATCTCCTATTCCATGCATGATGTCCGGATCTGAACCGGGAATCATGTCGGGTAGAGAATCGTTCGGTGTCAGCATTCAAAAAAGCCCAGTCCCTTCTCAGCCGTCGGGGATACCGAACATGAGATTAGCTTTCAGTTCCGACGGGACAGCAGTGTACAAACCTGTTACAAGCAGCACTCCTTCCTACCAAACCAGCGGTGGAGGTTCTGGTGGTGATAGCTCTGCCGGCGCGATCGTCCAGCACGGCCTTAACATGAACATGGGGGAACCCATGAAGCGGAAACGAGGAAGGCCCAGGAAGTATGGCCCCGACGGAACCATGGCTCTCGCATTGACACCTACATCACCCGGTGGCGGTGTCCCTGCCAGCGGCGGGTTTTCTTCCTCTTCGGCGGCCTCGCCATCGTCGTCCATAAAGAAAAATAGGGGTCGACCACCAGGCTCGGGCAAGAAGCAGCAAATGGCTGCACTGGGTAGCTTTTCTCTTTCCTTCAAATACGCGTGGTTTTTCTTTTCTTTTTTTGTATTGTTTCTACTTTCTATTCTATGGTTCAGTTTGATTGTGTTTGACGTTCTCTCGTTATCTTTGTCTGTCACGTGGTGGTGGATGATATTTGGATGGAGAGATGGGGGAATATTTGATTTTGTTGAGATGAAATCTTATTAATCTTACTATACTGCAACAGGCCTTCTGACTTAAATGTTTGGTTGAGATGAGATCTGAATTTTGCTTGTTATCCGCTGGAGTGGGGGTGGTTATTTAGTTTAGGTTCTGACGGGGAAGTGGGGTTGATAGATACGGGGGAGATGAATGGATGACTCTGTAAAACAGGAAAACAAAGGCAATTGAGAGTTTTGCCGGAAATTGGGATGTGTTGGATCCGACTTGACAAAATTACATATATGCCCTTTCTTGTTATTTCTTTTTTTTTTTTTTTTTTGATTATTGACTCTGTTGGTTGTTGAATTTCTTTTTTTTTATGCCACGCTGCTACTTTTATGTCTTTCCTTAACGTAGCAGTCCATAAATCCTGTTTAAGTATGGATTTTCTCTTTTCTTCCTGGAGGTTCTTTTTTATTTTTTATTTTTAATTTTTTGGGTAGAAATTTGTCATTAGATCTTATTCTGTTTCTGAGTAATTTGTTTTCTTCTTCTTCTTCTTCTTCTTCTTCTCTCTCTCTCTCTCTCTTTTAATTTTAACTGGGATATGTATAGTAAACACTAAACACTGCTGGTTCTGTTTGTTTCCCTTTAATAACTTTATCATACAAAATAAATTATCTGGTACTAATGCTATGATCATTTATAGGGGCCCAATCTTGCTAAGAGACGGTAAAAATCAGAATATGGTAAAAAAGGGAAAACTTTATTTTATAAAGTTCTGTGGGATGAAATGATTTAATTTTAAAATACCACCCAGTTAGAACTGTTGCTTTTAATTAATTTCAAAACATTAATGCTTTGTTTCTCTTTCTTATTTTGTTTTGGCTAATAAAAAGGAAAGGTTATTCTTCTTTCATTTCCGCTGCTCTATTGCTTTAATTATTATACAGTGTTTCTTTTTCCTCAAATTCCTTATCAAGGTCTTGGGTTGCAGGATCAGCTGGTATTGGATTTACACCTCATGTTATCACGGTTAAAGCTGGAGAGGTACTTGTCTGTTGTTGCTGTTATTAATTTGCTGTTGTTGTCATTGTTATAATTTTTCTTATTGTCACTGTCATAGAAACTATAATAATCATTTTCATTGTTATTGTTTTATCATTATTAATACCATTAACTTGTAGCTGTTGTGATGGTGGCTATGATTTGTTGTCAAGGGATTGACTTACGGGAGCAATTGTTTAACTGTAAATGTTTCTGTTGCTTTTGTGCTACCTAGACATGAATTTATTATGTAGTTACTCTTATGGTTGAAAATGTACTGATCGGGAACAACAGATATTCATCTGAAGGGTAAAATGGATTGGGTTCTATACTAGATTTCTCTGTCTATATAAGCATGATATTTCAGCTATATGGAGGCACAATCTAGCCAATCAAAACCAATGTTGTCAGACATGGATCATATTGGACAGTTAAACTGATCAACTGGTGACAGTGAAACCATGTGTTCGCTTCTAGACCTTGGATTTTGTACCCCACACCTTGTTGCAACTTCTGCTGGCTGTTGAATTCAATTCAAATGATTTGAAGATTAGGGTGTATTTGGCTGCAAGAACATGGTAGGCACCTGATCACTTGAGGGGTGGGCCTTGACGCAACAGTTAGGTTGCTCCATTGCAACTTCTGTGATCAGGGTTCAAATCTTGGAAACAACCTGCAGGGGTAAGACTGTACATCTGTCCCTCTCCAGACCCCGCATTGGCGGGAGCGTCGTGCACTTGGCTGCCCTTTTAACATGGTAGGGCCCTCCTTGAATTGTTTCCTCCAAGGCATACCATTCTGCATAGTAGGCGCTTTAATAGCCCCATTTTGTAGACATCATCTATTATTATCTTCCCCTGATGAACTGAAACAGGCATCCTTCTACTCTTATTATATTTATATTGAGGTAGCAATATAACCAAACAGTTGGGTTCGTTATGTTGATAGTCATGATCTGTTTGTTATTTCTTATTCTACCCTTGATGAATCATGCACAGGTTTTACATGGTGGTATTAGTGTTAAAAATGCTAGTCACTCTTGTATACTTGTGGGGAAGTTGATAAAATTTTAATTTACTCTGCTCATAGCGTGTAGGTTTTACCTGGTGGCATTTTGTAGACTACTGTCTTTCTGTAAATATTCTAGTTCTCCACTGAAAAATCTTGTCTGTTTCCAGGATGTGTCGTCAAAAATAATGTCATTTTCACAAAATGGTCCACGGGCTGTGTGCATTCTTTCAGCAAATGGTGCTATATCTAATGTAACACTGCGTCAAGCAGCAACATCTGGTGGAACTGTAACTTATGAGGTTCGCTATTAATATATGTGACACTTGCCTTTGTCTTAGATTAACCATTTATTATTATTATTATTATTATTATTATTATTATTATTATTATCATTATTATTATTATTATTATTATTGTTTTGTTTGTTTGGATCTAACATCAGCCATTTCTTTGGCATGGTTCAGTGGCCTGTCAAAATATGTTAATAAAGAAAAAAACAGTTGGGAGGGTTCAGTATGGGGGTGGGCTAACCCACCCCTGTTGTATGGCCCATGAATCTAGAGAGAGATTTTATACAGTTACGAGTTTGCGACTGGTGTGGCCTTGGTTCTTGCACTCCTAGATTAAAACTATGAATTGGTTTGACATGTATTTGCATGTTTGAAAATGTTTTCCTGGTAGATACCTCTGGATATATGCTTGCAAACTTTGAATGGTATTAGATTCATGATAGTTGAATAGGAAAATGATATTATAATGGGTTATTTGTTTGCCAAATAGGGTTAGGACATGAACAATGTCCATGATTCTTACATTATTGCTTTTTGCAAAATTTCATTTTTTGAGGGGGGAGAGGTGGCAGCTGTGGATGGAGAAGCTACCTCTTACATGTTAATGCTTGTTGTATATTAATTAATATTATACCCATCTGAAGCTGATTTGTTCATTCAAATGCAGGGGCGATTTGAAATCCTATGAACAATGTCCATGATTCTTACATAATTGCTTTTTGCAAAATTTCATTTTTTGAGGGGGGAGAGGTGGCAGCTGTGGATGGAGAAGCTACCTCTTACATGTTAATGCTTGTTGTATATTAATTAATATTATACCCATCTGAAGCTGATTTGTTCATTCAAATGCAGGGGCGATTTGAAATCCTGTCACTCTCTGGTTCTTTCCTTCTGTCAGAGAGTGGTGGTCAACGCAGCAGAACTGGTGGATTGAGTGTTTCCCTTGCTGGTCCAGATGGGCGTGTGTTAGGTGGTGGTGTGGCTGGGCTCTTGACTGCAGCATCCCCTGTCCAGGTATAGTTGTATTCCTAGCTCTAATCTAGGACCCTGTTCCCTTCCCAACAGTTTTTTTCCTACTGTTGCTATGGTTAATTATGAATTAATTTTAATGTTTCATTGAGCAGAATATAGGGCAATAAGAAATGTGTTTACAGAATGAATGTGGTAAAGCATGCATAGGGTATTGTTGCAGCATATAATTTGTTATACCATACAGCATATAAATGTGACGTGAATAGGGTAATGCTGCTGCTGCAGGTGGTGGTTGGAAGTTTTATTGCAGAAGGGCGGAAAGAGTCAAAGGCAATGAACCCATCGGAACCACCAAAGATTGGAGCGGGGGGTGGTGGGCCAACAGGAACAGGGGCTGGGAGTCCACCATCCCGGGGCACCCTCAGTGAGTCCTCAGGTGGACCAGGAAGTCCCCTTAACCAGCAGAGTACAGGGGCATGCAATAATAACAATACACAGGGAATGGCGAACATGCTGTGGAAGTGAGAAGTATCAAAAAACATCAGCTTGTTTCCCACACTTTTGTGTAATAGGAATGTGAAATGTGATCCTCCGTTGTATGTCATAGCTTACTTCCACTGTTCCCCCCCAATTTGTAATTTAATCCCATGCTCTCTCTCTCCCTCTCTCTACTAACTTATATGTTATGTAGCCCTGTAGCCATGTAGCCATGTAGCCTGTAGCCTGTAGGTGGCGCTGAGTTTAATGGGGAAGGATCGCTGGTGGCGACTGGCGAGCTTGTGTGTGTGATGATTCTATCCTTCCCCCATGGAATGGAACGTTGTGTTGTTTCAGATATATTAGAATAAAAAATGTGGTGATTCAGATTCTGTCGGTTATCTGCCAATTGTGATGCTGCGGTTCACGCAATCATGGTGCCACCCCATGAATCAAAATCATGATTCAGATCTCTCTCTCCTTTATCAAGGACGACGACTGGAGGAGGTCATGAATAGGGGTGTCAACGGTATTCGAAAATTTGAAGAATTTGGATGATTCGATTATTAATAGGTCGAATATGGATATTCTATTCTTATTGAATAGTTAATTGAATTCAAATATGGATATGACCTGATTCGATTTAATAAATATTTGAATTTGATCGATTATTTAATTTATATATATAATATATAAAATATTTTATATAATAATTAAGTTATATAAATAATTTGTATATTTATTAATTATTTAAAATAATTAATTAATCGAATTTGAATCGAATTGGATATTCAAATATTTAATCGGATTTGAATTCGGATATTAATTTTCAATATTCGTCGGATATAGAATTTAAATATCGGATTTTCTAATTGAATTCGAATTCAAATATTGCCTTATCCGATTCGATCCGCTGATTACAGTGAATTTGATTCCTTAACCTAAATCCTAATGATCGTGGTGGGGCCATGTCATGTCCAAGGAGAGAACAAGGCGATGGACGACGTTACAGCCTGGGTGGGCAATGCCAAATTTGTTTTCTTGGTATTGAAAGGTGTCATGGCCTGAGCCTTAAATCTTTAATCTTCATAACCAATTTAATGAACTGGCTAAATGCACCCTACAGTCCTACACCAAAGAGTCAGGAGTCAAGGACGGGGCTTTACTTCCTCCCATATAACACATCACCTTAACCCTAGCCCTTAGTTTTTTGGTGGCAGAGGCTCAGAGGCTTTCTGGACAATATCCTCCTTCAGTATAAATCCCCTTTTACATATGCATAGTTGCTTAAGTTAAAAAGTAGATAAAAACCCTTACACACCTACACTGAAGAGTGAAGACTCTCTTGAAATCTTTCTCCTCTACCGCGTGTGTTATTAGTCTGTACTGATTGGTGCCCTTAGTCTATGCTTTTAATTTTAAGTAGAGGTAGAGCATTGCTTTTAGCTTTTACTACAAATTACAACAGTAATATTAAACCATCTTTAAACTAAACAACAATAACGCCCTCTGTCTACCAACTGAAAGTAGAAAAAACACATTTAGAGCCCAAATTCAGAAGAAAGAAAAAGTCATTGGTAAGGTTAAGGCACAACACTTTTTCCTCCCTGATATCAATCATGATTTGCCATCATTCCTCAGTATCTCTCTAATCTGCATTCTTGAAAAGGAGATTACATTAATGGGACCATAAGATCTAATATCGGTTTCCTTTTTTTCTTTCTTTAAGTTGTCCCCTCTGGACTCTGGTTTCTTCTTCCCTTTCTTACCAACTTGCCTGGTCGGTACTCTGGGTTGGAAGTTTTTCCTAGTTTCAGAGCTGTTTTCCTTCAAACGTCTGACCAAACTGCCAATTTGGTGGAGCAACATTGTAAGATGCAACAGTCTTCCCGCTGCTGCTTGTGACCTCAAAAGATAGAGGTTGTCCTTTAAGGTTGATATTGCACTGCCAGATTTGACCCCAGTTCCTTCCCATGGGTATCCACCCCGTTTTTGACCCCTTCACCTTCACTGCCACCACTTCGCCATCCAACCCAACATTAGCGATCAGGACTTGGTAGAAGTAAGAACTCCCGCTCAATGTAAATCTCAACCCTCCATTTCTGGTGCACTTCACCCTACACCCACACACGAAATTGAGCTCTCTTTTATTATAACACCGAAATCTTAACAAAAGGATTCCTAATTAAATAAATGGTTCCACACAATACACAATACACAATACACAATTACACAGAATAATGGCCCTGCCTTGCATTTTATGTTTTACAAGGTTAGGACCATTGAATCATCAGGATTTCTTAGGTATTGCCCATGCAAGAGGTTGCTGATTGATGGTTTGCTTTTTCTTTTTTTCCTTCGTGAACTACAGTATAGTTGAATGAATGGCTACACCTATACGGTCTCTGTTTGTTTTTATAAACTTCTACCGTTTCTATTTTCTACTCGTAGGGACTTAAGATTTCATTCATATATTGATAAAGGTGGAGCTGAAACAATCATCTAATCCATGGGTTTGGAGTTTGGAATCTCTCACCTCCTGTACTGAACCGGCACAATATCAGCTCTTCTCTCTGCTATTTTAGCAAAAGCCGCCTCAGATAACTCGAAGTGCTCTCGTGGGAAATTGCACCAGCCACCATAATCGGCCGGCAGCCCATAATTTGGGGGACAAAAGTCCGTGGCAGTAATGATGACAGATGGGCTTCCCTGCAGACACCAGAGGATGTGATCCACACACCTAAGCTCGAAACACCCTCCGCAGGTACGCCCTCTGTTGAATAGCAAACTACTAAGACCAGCACTGTATTTTCCATAGGTTGCCTTGTGAAGGTCCCCATAACCACAAGCTCCTTCTGCAACACCGAACAATGACGGGATTGACAATGGTGACAATGCCTTTTAATCAATGTTTAATAGAACCGAACATTGCTTTATAAAGCTACCACTATGCAGAAACCTTGTAAAAAGAAGTTTAAAAGGCAAAGCAAGTACCGGTGATAATCGACCCATCTGTTTCTGTAGAATATGTTGCAGTGGCGGACTTCCATTCAGCTTCTTGGGCAGTTGTTATGCTTAGGTTTAATAATATAAAGGAGAAAACGGCAGTTCGGAAAATAACCATCTCATCTATGAACTATGAATGATTATGAGAAAGGAGGACTCTTGACTCTTGAGAAGCAGTAGATTTATAAACTGTGATGCTAATAAGCTCCTTCATATGTCATTTCTAGGAAATGACTTTAAATCTCCTTAGAGATTGGGCTGATTTGAATTATTTGATGCTTGATAAAAAACTCCGTTAGCACTTGATGAGGAGGTTCTGGGTCTGGCCCTGAAAATTATTTGACGCTCAGCCTCAGTTCACATTATGACATCTGATCTCAAAGCCTGGCCATAGGAGTGACTGATGAGGTGAGAGCACAAGTATATCGATCTCTAGACTCTAGCAAAGGCCTTTTCTGGAAAAAAAAAATGGACAGTCAAAAAGGATTGGCGCCTGTATTCGGCATTTCGGCTCCGTTTTGATGGCGGACATTGCCGTGTCTGTGTGAGTATCAAGGTTCAAGAGGAAAGAGATAGAATTAGAATCCAAAGGGATTGAATTATTGTTTGGGTTAGGGTTTCTTTTGCTTGTTTAGTTGTTGGGCTCTTCTTTTGAGACGGTGGGGAAACAGGAAAGAGGGAAGATGCATTGACAAGATCAAAAGTTAGCGGGAAATGCACATATTGCTCACTTTTATTTTTTTTTTTTCACAAAATTACGGGGCACTACTGACCACTTTCATTGAGATTTTAGGTCTTTTATGGGATTTGGATTTTGGAAGTCAAGACTCTAGGCCCTAGCCCACTCTTTAGTTTCTTTCTGAAATCGGAAGCCCGCATTCTCTGTCCCTGATGATTTTTTGTAATTGTAAGTTGTAACTTCACCCATAAATATAATAACTATCTACTCAAAATGTTCACCATGTGTGCCTGCCTCATCCGGACTGGTATAAAACTATAAATTCAAAACCTAACTGGATTGTATTTGTATAATTGTATTGTATGGTTTTGAACGGTGGGTTCCGGATCAAAAACTTTTCCGTCGTCCAAGCTAAAATGGTTTATTGGAGGTGATAATTGGATGGGATTTGGTGTGGGCCGAGTAAAAACCAACCAATTTTTAAGTTATTTGCCTAGAGTAGTGGGTGAAACCCAACCCACAAACCATTCAGAATCGAGAAAAGTGTAAAATGTAATCCGATCAATAAAGAGAGACGGAATGGTTTGTGGGTCCCATAACTCATCCTAGCCCCTCAACCCGTTTTCGACTTTCAACCTGTAAGCACACCCACATTATTGATTTTGTTCTCCGTTAGTCTGTTCTCATAGATCGAAATCACTGGAGGACAGAAGATCCTCCCTAATTCGCGTTTTGGTTGTCAAGTTTGGTAATCTGCCCATGGAATCTTCTAAATATATATTCTTTGTTTTTTAAGGGTTAAAGCATAAAAACCTCCCTTATGGTTTCAAATGATTTAATGAATAAAGATTGAATTGCATAAGAGAACATGAGATGATGAGAACTTCACAGATGGGACCACTAGACGGAAACGCAAAACAAATGGTTAATGAGATTACTATGTCCCCTACAGATCCCAAAATCGGATATAATGGAGACATGATTAAGGTTAAAAGCTCCGCAGTTCTCAGGATTCTGTTTTGGAACCATATTGTTCCAATCCAAAATACAGCCTAAATTCAGACCATGTTATTATCACATTCATTAAGCTATTAAGAGCACCATTACAAAATCAGTATTGCTTCGGTTTTTTCAGACCAGCATTCCCCTATGTGACTTGGCTCAGGATAAGAAAATGTAAACAACTATGTGTATTGTACTTCATTTCTCACTCAAATCTAATACATGTATTATTAGCTAAATACATACCACTAACAATTCACAAAGGGAAAACTCATCTTAGTTTCTTCATCCTTGCCCTCTTAAGCAGGAAACGCAGTGAAAACATTCCAAGGGCAAATGTCTGCCAAAACCATCCACTTACATTTGCAGGGTCCACCATCTTTGCCAAGTACCATGCATATGTTGCTTCACCTACATGAACCATGGCAGCCAAAAGGAACACCAAGCGTACCATCAACATTGACCGAAAGAAGAAAAGGGAAATGGATCTTATGAATTCCACAGGCCCAAAGTCTGGCAACCAAGCAGCAGAGAACAATGCAGTCATTCCTATCACACAGAAGAGCCAGGCATATATGGTAGGCCCATCTAGATCTTTCCTCTTCTTCTCTTGCCAGTATGAGATGGTCATGGCCATGCCCTCTTGGGGACTCACCATAGGAATGTACCCAAGTTCCTCTTTTGCTTTTAGGAAAGAGAAGAAATGGGTGATTCCAACCTGTTGGGCAGCAGCTTAAAAGGATAAATGGTTCATCAATGTCCACAAGAATGAATGGTAGTAAAAGGCATGAACTTTTCATATCCACAAGATTGAATGATAATATTTTGTAGGAATATGCCCAAAAAAGGCAGGGAAGTCCTAAAATAGATAATGATGTGCAATTCCCTCTAAAGAAACAAAGGCAGTCCTAGTCCTACATCTACCAAGGGCATTATTGCAAAGGCAATTTCCAGATCTTGAACTCTGCTTTTCTAAATTGAAGGGCCAAGGTAATCTGACATCCTTGGCCCACCATGAAGTGCAGAGCTTACAGATTAGTTGCATATGCAAGGGCGTAAGGCTGAAGATTTGGTCTCTGATAGGTTCTTGTAGTTTCCATTTTTTAAATGACTCACAATAATATACAATATTCATTACTTGCATCTTCTTATTCATCTAAGATGACAAATGCATGCAGTTGTGGAACTAATATGTCTAGAAGGCCATTATCCAATGTTGGTTCCAGTGATCTGGGGTCTTGTGAGGGGTAGACTGGATAAGATTATAAAGATCATAACCTTTGGCATTTTTTTGTGCACAAAGCAGCCAGTGTCTCAGACTTGAACACGTTTCCCATGATTGCCAGCCTGAGATTTTACCATTACACCAAGTAATGGTCCCTTGTGGAACTAATATGTCTATAGTTGTATAAACTAAAGGAAGTTCAAAGAAATGAACCTTGTATACTTCAGCAGGAAGGATTAATGGCTGTGGAAGCCAGGACCGGTTCAACCATGGATATAAGAAAGTATAGATAGCAGAAAAAAGACGTCCAATGAAAAGAGCATGCCGAACATCTAGTGTAGCTTTTGGCAAGTCATACCCCAGGCTTCTAAGAAGTGGATGGATAAATTCAAATGTGTTGACAGGAGAACCTGTAAGATTAAAGATAGCCATGAATGTCTAATGACGAGAAAAGCATTATTATTGATAAAAAGCAACAAAAGTTGGTACCGAAAAGTCAAAACCAAAGAGAAAACATATCAAGCTCATCATCATGCAACCTAGCTTTGAGGTGTCAAAATTTGCTTTGGCATAATTTTAGTATCATTAGGAAGTTTACTTCAACCAGTCCAACAAGCCCAGGATTACACCAATGGCACATGAATTGAATAAGTTATAGTCGTTATACAGATTCATATTCAGTCTGCAACAGGATTTCTACATCTCGGTTTTTTTAGTTTAAAATTATAGCTCTGGTAGTTTTAAGATTTATCTTGGAAGGTATTTATTCAAAGTTATTTCCTCTTTAGAATCCATATGAGACTTATAATAGGTCAAAAGCCAAATTTTGAAAGACATTTGAATTGGAGAGTTATTATGAATATTTAGATTGGGAAACAAGTTTATATAATGTCCACATTATTGCTCTAAAAGAGGACTACAAGAATTGAAATGAAATTTCACCTTTGGCTTTGTTTTATTGGTGTTGATGCCAAATTTTGTAAACGTTACTAAGTCCTTCAGAAAGCTATTAGGTGTTGAATCCTAAGGCTATGTTTGTTTGGTTTAAAGGAAAAAGAAGGGAAAGGAAGGGAAAGGTAGGGAAACCTTTCAAATTAACAATTGTAATAATGATAGTTACTAAATCAAGAAAAAATAAAGCAGTTGCAAAGACTAAATCAAACATTACCATCAGAAATGAAGTATGGTTGTCCAGCAGCTATAGGGTGTCCTTTCCCAGGGATGTCATCCAAGAGTCCCATGCTAGCTAATATAAGAGCAAGAACAAGATTGTCCACATAAACCCAGTCGGTCTTCACATTTGATTCACCAATTTTGAATGTCGAAAGACCCAACTTTGCAAGAGAAATTATCCTGGGAAGGTGCCTCTCTTCACCCGGTCCATAGATAGCAGCAGGACGAATTGCACAAGTGTAAAGATGGGTCCCATTCTTCTTCCTATTCAACATGAAAACATAAGCCACCTGGACTCAGCAACTTGCATGAGTATAAAAATAAGTCCCATTATTCAGCCTTCAGATTTTTTTCTTGGATCAGTAACAAATCAGACTTCCATTGCTGTAAAATTAAAAGAATTTAAATAAAATCAGAAATGTGCCACAGCCCCCCCTTTATTTTGGGCTAGCCCCTGCAACCCACCCTACTAGCTCCACATTTCCTCCTTTTTTTTAATGTGTAATCAGGAAGGATAAGTAACACCAAACGAAGGGTACCACTAACTCCAAATTTCTGCTAATATGCATGATTTCCCATCCTGGGAAACAATACCCCAAGCCCTTGGCTTTTTTTCTACTGACCCCCTTTTATTTCAATTTCTTTGGAAAGCAGGGGTGTTCCTTTTTTCTATATTCAATAAGGTTTCTCTTTGCTGTTGCTGATCAAGAAAAAAAAGGCAATTGGTATTTTATCAAGACAGCTGAGATAATTTACCTTATTGGAGTCTTGACATTTTGGCAAACCAACACATCTACATGGTTGATATTAGAGATCACTCTTTTATTAAATGAGAGAACTTGTATGGTTCTGGACTCTAGAGGTGCAAATTATATCACTGTTCAAGAGGTGCAAATTAGGACCTCACTTGTAAGACTCAGCGTGGTCTAATAGTTTCATGGTAGCAGAATCTAATTTTCTTTGTTCTTTTTTTAAAGCATTGTCTACTCAATTGCAGCAAGCACACAGTACAAAAGATCCATGGTTTGGATTATAATGACCAACTAACTATTCAATAGTAGTCCTTTATGGCATTAGAGATCTCCTAGGCTGTATGTGTTTGATATTGAGTGGAGGAAAACAAGAATTTAGATTTCATAAGAATACTCAAGGTTCCTTCATTAGATAGAATCTACCAAGATTAAGAATTCTTTTGGAGAAACATACAAAAACATGTGATTAATACTGAAGTTAATAAGACAGATAGAAACCAATGAACCAAAAAACAAAACAAAAAAAGGTATGTCAAAATAAATGAGGCACCCCTTGTTGCAACATAACGTCCCTGTCAAATAATGTTATTTGACTTCCAAGTACAAGCCAAATTTGATTGTTCAGGCCTTTCACTTGTAATTTTTGGGTAAATTACAAATACCCTATTTGGGGTTTCCAATAATAACAAACACCCACCCTGGGTTTCTAAGATACTCTGCACCAAGTTATTTGATAATTAAAAATACCCTCACTTTGTCATATAGCATGCTGCCACATGATATATTCAGACTTTCATGATGACTGTTTTAACCTTGCCCCATCATATGGTACCTTCAAACTTTTTAATTGTCTAGGACATCTAGCTAAAGTAAAATTACATTGAAACCAAGTAGATTGAAGATGATAGTGTTCTTTTGGTTTTTTGTAACCATATATTAAACATGAAAGAGTGAGGGCATTATTGATAATATAATAGTTGGGGCACAGTTGAAAATTTTGAATAAGAATTCTGGAGAATGATAGGGGTACTTTTGTCCTTCTGCATTTGTCTTTTGAGTTCTGACCAGAGGGATAATTATAATTTCAGAAACATGAGGTGGGTATCTGTTATTGTTGGAAACCCATTTTAAGGCATTTGTGTTTCAAAATTTTCTTTTTTGGATGGAAGCATTTTCAATTGCATGGCCAGAATATAAAAATGGTCCTGAAGAAATTCAACAAGGAAGATGCTTAATATCATCCAATTATTCCAATTCTAATAGAAACATAAGGCATGTTGCAACCCATCTGTACGTCAGGCACACAAGTAAAAGTAAGGTAGATCAGAAAAAGGGAGAATGCCCTAACAGTGAAATTCCTAGAGCAAAATCACCTACTTGGAAGGACGACCGTTGCTCTTCAATACCAACTGTTCAGCAACTGTTTTACTACGGCCATATGGATCAACATGATCATCAATGGGCAAATAAGGCAAGGCTTCATTGCCATTAAGAATCTCCTTTCCCCCAAACACAACATTGTAAGTGCTCACATAGACAAGTCTCCTGATTCCAAACTCAAGGCATGCATCCAATACATGGCATGTTCCATTTATATTCACCTCATCAACACGTCCAACTTGAAGCATTTCTTTCCCTGACATGCCATAAGAGGCAAGGTGAAAAACACAATCTGCTCCACGTAGGGCTCTTTCAACATCTTTTTTCTGGCTAACATCCCCTGCAAAAGTATAAAATTGAAGGGAAATTAGAATAGTTACACACACACACAAAGGAAAAGGTTTAATCACTGAATGCCACAGCGTGGTCCAACTTTTGATCCCATGAAGATCTTGCCTGAGTGCTCAAGAGCCATTTTGAATATCCCTAGCAGTACACTGTACATCCAGGGTTCTTACTTTCTACCACTAACTATTGGTCTTATGGTATTAGACCACAAAAATGTCAATGCAAATTACAGAGGGCTCCAAATTCTCCATGTGAAAATCCCAAGCATTTCAGCAGGAGTATATTTGAAAATGTATTTTATTGCTTGAGAAATTCCAAAATATGTAATGGTTTAACAAATCAAAAAATAAAAAGTTTGTGTCAGAAAACATACAACCCCATATAGTTGGGACAAGGTTATGATGATGATGTAAGTATTAAGAAAAACATATACAGTTCAAAAAGCAGCAAGCTAAACAGAAAAGAATGGCATCAGCTACTAAATGGGATACATGCATCCATATCTGTCCTGGATCCCAGGAAATTTCTATTAGGGAAAGAGGCAGTATACGAAACCTTTAGATTTGGTTCGCCCACCTTATTTATTGCAACATTTCGCAACTTCATTAATACTAACTACTAACCAATAAACCAGGAACTATCCCATCCAAATGATGGATTTAAATATGCTAATCTTGGATAACCTAAAAAGAAAGACTTCCATGGTTCCATTTTTTTTTGTTATTGACAACAACAAAAATTGTTGTCCTCTGCAGTAGCCATTGTGCAGAAGTGGGACTGTGTGTATTTGTCACCCGTTAGGAAAGCAGTAGCACTACAATTGGCTAATTGATTTAGCCACATAGTTGGCCTCCCTACATACACATGGACATAGGTGACATATGACTTCCATGAGGCATGACCCTGCAAGTCTTGGATTATAAATACAATAATGACCAAAGTGGCTGTCTTAATATATTTATGTAAATTGTACATACAATTTTTGTAAGAATTTGTGAAAAAAAAATATAAGCGTATCTATATGCAACATAATGTAATACACATGCAATTTAAATCCAAAAAGTACTCTTATGTGCCAAATAACATTACACCTTACCATACTGCAGCCACCTCACCAAAAGGGATCATATTCACCTACTGTTTCCAGACTCAGACTGGACCAGACAGTAGGACTGCAAAAACCAGGAAACATCAGCCAAAACAATTTTTTGTTTGCCTGGTTCTAGAAAGTCTTACTTGGTCAACCTAAACTAATTTACATGTGTTAATATGGGCGACACCCTATAATATTTATTTTTGTAAGCTTATCTTGTTATAATTTTGTTTAAATGATAAGTTAGAACCATTTTCAACTTTTTTTCTGTTCAGGTTTTTATTTGATATTTGAATGAATCAAACCGTTAGAACCAAATTGATCAAACCGTTCCATCTTTCACCCAATCACCAAAATAGTTGTCCGTCTGACCGGAATCTGATAACAGGTTTCCCTACCTTTCCCTCCCTTTGTTTTCAAACAAACACAGACTAACGGAAAAAGGAAAGGTGGCATCTACTATTAACTCTCCCATTAAGATAACATCTAGACTTGCAATGCCAGGGAATTTTGGATTTATGAAAAATTTATAAAGGTCATTTATCAAAAAAAATATAAAGGTCGTGTGACATGAGAGTTGACATTGGCGCCCCACAGTCATCTCACAGGACATCCCAACCGTGTATTGGAAACATCTCCGGAGATGTTCCCAGATGTGCACATGTAGGGCGCAGATGTGAACTCGTGACGTGAGGGACGTATAGACATTTGTTAAGCCTATTTCATTTCTGAAAAGAAGGGAAGCTAACCCGGATCTGCTAGCAACAACACGACGCTACCAATATAGCTTCCAACAACATCTATAGTCGCACATCTCAGATATATTTAACATGTGTTGACATTGATGGGTTATACCTTATACGGCAATCATGTTTGAGATGTGCGACTATGGATAATGTTGGAAGCTGCGTTGGAAGCGTCCAGTTGCGATATAGATCACGTTTAATTTAAGTAATTTTCTTTTTTTTTTTATTTTTTGGTAAGGATGTTTAAGTAATTTTCTTTTATTTTTTTAATTTTTGGTAAGAATGTATAAGTAATTTTCCTTTTATTTATGGTGAGTGGACGACAGGACGGTTGTTCCTTTTATTTTTATTTTAATGAGGGTGGTTGGGGTTGACTGTTAAGTGTTTTCCTACCGATTGGAGAAGCATACTTGGATTTTTAATTTTAGTTTCATTGACGAGATAACAACAATTTTTATGAAACAACTGAATTAAAAAGAAAACAAAGGAACAGAAAGCCAAACAGTTCAATTGGAGAGCAGTTTTCAAAACCCTAAAATCGTCAAAGGGAAGTCGACGGAGTAAGGGATCAGAAGCAGAAGGCAGAAGCCACCAAGATCCAATCCTTAAATGAAAAAGAGAAGGAATGGATGAAAGAGATATAGGTGAAGTACCTTGGATGCAGTGAACTCCAATCTTGTTGAGATCGTCGGACCAGGGAGAAGTTAGTCGAGGATCAAGAGATCGAACCTGTTGAGCTCCCCTCCTTATAAGCTCTGAGCAGAGAGCAGAGCCCACGAATCCGAGCCCGCCCGTTACCACGAACGTATTTCCCTCTATGCCTTCGTTCTCGCTCAAGTGCATCTTCTTCTGCTTTGTATGCTCCTTCGACTTCTTTGGTTCGCGTGGAAGACTAAATGCAAGTAGTAGAGAAGAGCGACTGGTGACCGGGTTTGTTTGTTTGTTGTGGCGCCAACTCCTCTTATTAATTGTCTGTCATCAGCATTGGGAAATGGCAACTTGGAAATCTGGGAAGGGAATATAGTATGTACTCACACTTTACTTGTGTCTTCAGAATCAGATCAGATGGGAACTTAATAAACAATGACACGGATGGATGATCCTCATTTCAGATACCGCGTTGTACTTGGGCAGTGGTAATTAGTTACTCCAACTCGATTTTTTTGGGACAATTTATAGATTAGTATCGTGACCCTGTACTTGATAATTACTCATAAACTTCCATTTGCAATAATACCCTCTAAACTTTTAGATTGATAAAGACCCCTCTAAACTCTAAAGTCTAAACTGATTTTTTTTTTTTTTACTTTGTAACCAAGATCCAAAGTATCTTATATTCGATTCGGCCGAGGTAATCTATCTATAATTTACACCACATGTATATCATTATCTTAATTTTTTAATAGGAAGAGGTAGGTTTAAGCACCGTTTCACACGTTCATCGTTTAGGTGCACGCGATTACTTGCATCCAAGTTTTTTAGCACTCAGATTCTAGCTCGCAATCACAATATAATACTAACTTAAGCATCAGAGCGATCTCGTTGGTTTAACCGCCTCAGGTGCTCTAATCCTCTCTCTTGTAGATTGGTCCAGCTCGCTACACGACTAAGGTACAAATCATCCTCTGGCTAGGAACTTCTAGATCGCGCACCATTATTAACATTTAAAACAGTTAGTTTTGGAATTGAACTTATTGAAAGATAGCTTATATTGAAGCATATTTTGTTGATACTTTAAACCTTTTTTTATAAAAAAAGGGGTAAAATACAAAAGTCTCCTTCGAAATTTTTGACAATCATAAAAATCTTTCTTATATTTTCACTTTAAAAAATACCTTCTCTGAACTTTTGAGAAATTTGACAAAAACCTCCCTTTTGTTACCTTTTCGATAAAAAATGTTATACTAATGCATCGGTTTTTTCTAAATACCCATTCTACCCTTTTATAAATCATTTTATATACAAAATTACTGAAATAGCCCTATTTTAACTTGACAACAACATTAGAAGATGGCCGTTAAAGGAGGTTTTTGTCAAGTTAAAACAATGTTATTTCAATAATTTTGTATGTAAAATAATGTATAAAAGGGTAGAATGGGTATTTAGAAAAAATGATGCATAAGTCTAATGGTTTCTGTATGAGAAAGTGACAAAAGGGAGGTTTTTTTGTTGAGTTTCCCAAAAGTTTAGAGGAAGTATTTGTTAAAATGAAACTATAAGGGAGGTTTTTGTATTTTACCCAAAAAAATACTTTGAGCCTTTCATGCGATTGTTTTTTTTTTCTAAATTATTCTTTTCTAAAGATTTTCTAGAAACAAATGTTTAGGCTAATTTTAGTGATTTTTTGTTTCCATTAATTATTGGTTTAGTTGATATGAATTAGAGGCTGCATTTATTGCAATTCCAGGTTTTCAAACAGTCATACTAAATGCAATTCCAAGTGATATTAATTGCATGTATAATTTACCCTCTTCTTTTAATTTCTACTAAATGCATGTCACGTAATACTCGCCACGTGAGAAGTGCTATTACTAATTTTGGTATTTTTTTGAAGGCTTAAACATATTTCATTCATTTAAGAAATTGATACAATTATAGAGAATTGCCAACAAGGCCAATCAGAACCCAGATACAATTTCTCAAAATATATAAATGGATGAAGGAGAACATAATGAACTTCTGCAATCAAACAAAGGTGAACTTAAAATCATCAACAAAAGTATATAAGCACAACTCCAATCCACCACAAACGATGAGAGAAATGATAGGAGAAGCTCCCAAAAGAGACTATAAAGAGCCGGTAATAATATGGGTGGGGTAGATCTGCAAAAAACGGCAAAGGCCCAAATGTTACAACCACTACCAGAGACTGTAATTGCCTTCCAGAACTGCATCCACAGGAGAGTTGCGAACGGAATTGACCATGAATTGCATCTGTCGGAGAATTGCGGACAGATTTAACCATGGATGGCAAAACGTCAAGCAACATCCATTGGTATCAAAAGCCCAATACATGATCCAAGAGAAAGTAACCCACTTGTCAAAACGCCTGTAGAAAGAAGAAAAAACAAAAAAAAATAGGCAAATAATGGAGAGAACTAGATGGGAAAGGTGAGGGAAATAGATGGGAGGAACAACAATGGAAAGAATGGAGAGAATCGGATGGGAGGAAAAATGAAGAATGAAAGCAGGGGAGGAAGGAAGAAAAGAAACAACAGAAAGAGAAACTCAAGAGAGCCACCCCAAAAGAGAGATGGATAAAAACCTTGAAAAACTCGAGAGAAAAACTCTCTCTAAACACACACACACACAGATAACGGTGTCGCGACTTGTAGAGAGGGAACGGTTTCACAACTTGCAATAATTTTGGTAATTAAATTTAGTGAAAGTTAAATCATAAAATTCCTAATTATTAAACAAATAATTGGAAAATTTTAATAATTTCCATAATTATTAAATACTACATTTGTAATTGCCATGATTATTAGAACTATATCTATGGGTTCAGGGGATGGCCCTATGGCAACGAGTGGGTTCAAGGAAGGAATCATAGTTCCGTCCTTGACCCCAAGTTTTAAATTAATACCTCGTCCCTGAGCTTGATCGATGTTGGGGAAAAATTTTAGCCTCCACCCTTGGTCCCCAATGGAGACGGGTTCCCCATTAGGAACCCAAATCCCCAAATTTTTTAATTAAAAGTTTGTTTCTAGAAAAATATTTATTTAAAATATAGGAAAAAGTTAAAATGCAAATAATATTTTAATATATAACATAAACAATATTATATATTTAATATAACACACACACATGTAAATATAATTAGGGTTGGGGTAGGGTGTGGACTTCACTCCCTGTCCCTGCCTAGTCGGGGAGGTCGGGTACCTAACGAGGATGGGGAAAATTTCCATCCCTACCCCTAGGTTGTATAGCCCCATAAAACAATAAGTTTTAAGCCCTTTAAGTCCTAACATATTTTTTCTGAACACCACACGGGACCTGCTAGTTTTCTTAATATAGGGAGTCTAATTTTCTGTGTTTTTATATTATATAATGTATAAAATAAATTTGGGTAAATTAAAAAGACCCCCTTGTAATGTGGGATCAGTACCAAGTACCCCTAAATTTTCATTTGCAACAATGACTCCCTTGAATTTTTACTTTGCAATAAATACCCATTTCTGTTAGAGTTCCCTCAAATATCTTCTCATTAAATAGTTTACGGTTTTTTTTAAATCTCTAAACTACCTTTTCCTTATTCATTTTAATGATTCGTGATTTGGTTAATTTTATAAATATAATATTAAAGTATTCTCGATTACTTTAATAAATCCTTTCAATTTTTTGGCTAGCTTCAATGTTCAAATGAAATGGAAGAGGTTTATTTCTAATAGATAGAAATTGAAGGTTTCATTTGTGATGGTACGCGATCTGGAAGCTTCTAGATGGAGGATGATCTGAACCTTAGTCGTGTAGCGAGCTGGACCAAGCTGCAAGGCAATGGATTAGAGCACTCGAGGCAGTTAACCTGGTGAGGTCACTCTGATGCTTAAGTCAGTACTATGTTGTGATTGCGAGCTAGAATCTGAGTGCTAGAGAGCTTGGACGCAAGTAATTGCGCGTACCTGAACCATGGAGGGGTTGATGCCTTTATACAGCCAAGTTATTGCAGGTTTCCCAAAACAGTTCCAAGATCTGCAGCCTGAATGGGCGAGATCCATTCCCGCTTTAGTTGGGGAGTAACGTATCAGTCAATGAACTTTATTGTCGCCACCCGATTCAGACGGGGAGAAGATAAGGCTTGTCGTTATGCAGTATGATCCCACAATATCCGAAGTCTGCTAGGGAGCTACTAGGATTTGTTACGTGTCAGTTCGGTTACTGGGCCCCGAACTCGATTAGCAACCGAGGTGGCATTACGCCAAGGTGAGCTATTGCCGAAGTGACTTTACGCCGAGCTTCGTATAGCGCTGACTAGACTCCCCTTACTGAGTTATCATCCTACGTGCAGATTGCGCCCACGTGACTTTTATTTACCAGGTCGTGCCAAATTACTCCTCATCAATTGCCCCCCACTCCTCGTGGCAGGGGTCCTAACCCGGCGGGGAGTTCACGACGAGCTTAAGTGGATTTGGCATGAAATCTAGGTGATGTGGAGGGGGATTCGTTGGTCGGACCCGTTCAACTGTTCGCGCAAACATCAAGCTGTTTATAGACTCTGCGGACGTCAAAACACACGCTAAATCGATTTCAACCTCGGGGGGCGTGCAACTGGTTTTCCTAGGAGCCATCGGATAGTGTTGATCTTGACCGTTGATTCCCGGATATACTAGCTATAAATAGGGGCCAAAGGGCCCATTTTCTTCACCACAAGTTCGCAAATCCGCAATCTTTGAGGTCACACTCAAGTCTTCCAGTTTGGTATCAGCCTTTTCTAGGTCTGAGGTTGCCTCCTTTTCTTCGGTCTTCCTTTTGGTGAATCCACCTTCATTTGCTTTTTCCTTTTGATTCCGTTGTCATTTCTTTTAATATGTCTAGCCTTAGCATAGATAGTCTTTTAGACGGGAGTGGTGAGTCCGCTGGGGCCAAGGTGGGTACCTCGGCTCAGACCGTGGATCCTCATCCTACCGAGGTGGTCACTTTAGGACAGGACACGGTCATCAATCCGCTCGGGGTGAACTCACCTCAGCGAGAGTGAGAGGCCTTCGATAAATCAGCTTCCACCTCACACTGAGGTCGCCTGCCAGACAACTTCGGCCCGTCAATAATGAGGCGGAGGGGCTCCTAGCCTTAGTAGCCCGGTACAGACTCCCTAACGACCTTGTATATAGCATCCCCTTAGGCAACATTCCTTGGAATCATGATCACAACGACATCGTGATATTTGAGAAGCAGCTCGTAGCTGGTCTGCGTCTTCCACTTCACCCTTTATAATTGAGACCGTTAAATTCTTTAACATTACCATAGACCAGCTACACCCGAACTCTATCCGTAATATCGTAGGGACCATTTTTCTTTTTCATGATTACAACCGTCCCCTTGACCTCGACGTCTTCTCTTTGATCCTTTCCATTAAGATAAATTTGTCCTACGTTTTATCCGAGTATAGGCGAACTTACTACTTGTCACCTCGTCCCAGATACAAAC